TTATCATAATTATGAAAAGTTACTTATCATAATTATCATACTCTGAGATTAAGAACTTAAAGTTATCATAATTATGATAATTCAAATCGGGAAGTTGAAGTTATCATAATTATGATAACTTATGATGGGGAAGTTAAAGTTATCATAATTATGATAACTCATGATGGGGAAGCTGAGGTTATCATAATATGATAACTTCAGGTTAATAGCTAAAGGGTGTGAGAGGAGGGGTAGGATGGGTTAGGTGCGAGTAGTGGTGTGAATGTAGTAAATTGTGGGAAGGGGGCGTGTGGGCCGGAGCAGGGGGGGGAAGGGGAAAGGTTGGAGGGTGGTGGAGGGTCAGGGGGCGAGGGTTAGGGTGGGGGGGGGGTGGTCAAGAGGGTAGGGGGGGCGGGGGGGTGGGGGTAGGGGGGGGAGGGGGTGGTGGGGGGGGGGGTGGGGAGGGGGGGGGGGGGGGGGGGTGGAGGCGAGAGGAGGGGGGAGGGGGTGGAGTCTCGCCGCAATTAATTCGATTTAAACGATTTAAACGATTTAATCGATTTAAACGATTTAATTGAGTCCAATTAAATCGTTTAAATCGGACGCCTGAATTAAATAGTTTAATTGGCCTGGGCGATTTAAACGATTTAATTGGTTGGTTTATGGCTTGACTGGGTTTCCCCCCAATTAAATCGATTTAAACGATTTAAACGATTTAATCGATTTACACGATTTAATTGGGTCCAATTAAATCGTTTAAATCGGACGCCTGAATTAAATAGCTTAATTGGCCTGGGCGATTTAAACGATTTAATTGGACTCAATTAAATCGTTTAAATCGATTAAATCGTTTAAATCGTTTAAATCGATTAAATCGATTTAATTGGGGGGAGACCCAGTCAAGCCATAAACCAACCAATTAAATCGTTTAAATCGCCCAGGCCAATTAAATAGTTTAATTGGCCTGGGCGATTTAAACGATTTAATTGGGTCCAATTAAATCGTTTTTTTTTAAATTAAATAGTTTAATTGGCCTGGGCGATTTAAACGATTTATTTGGTTGGTTTATGGCTTGACTGGGTTTCCCCCCCCAATTAAATCGATTTAAACGATTTAAACGATTTAATCGATTTAAACGATTTAATTGGGTCCAATTAAATCGTTTAAATCGGACGCCTGAATTAAATAGTTTAATTGGCCTGGGCGATTTAAACGATTTAATTGGACTCAATTAAATCGTTTAAATCGATTAAATCGTTTAAATCGTTTAAATCGATTTAATTGGGGGGGGAGACCCAGTCAAGCCATAAACCAACCAATTGAATCGTTTAAATCGCCCAGGCCAATTAAATAGTTTAATTGGCCTGGGCGATTTAAACGATTTAATTGAGTCCAATTAAATCGTTTAAATCGGACGCCTGAATTAAATAGTTTAATTGACCTGGGCGATTTAAACGATTTAATTGGTTGGTTTATGGCTTGACTGGGTTTCCCCCCCCAATTAAATCGATTTAAACGATTTAATCAAATTAAACGATTTAATTGGGTCCAGTTAAATCGTTTAAATCGGACGCCTGAATTAAATAGTTTAATTGGCCTGGGCGATTTAAACGATTTAATTGGACTCAATTAAATCGTTTAAATCGATTAAATCTTTTAAATCGTTTAAATCGATTTAATTGGGGGGGAGACCCAGTCAAGCCATAAACCAACCAATTAAACCGTTTAAATCGCCCAGGCCAATTAAATAGTTTAATTGGCCTGGGCGATTTAAACGATTTAATTGAGTCCAATTAAATCGTTTAAATCGGACGCCTGAATTAAATAGTTTAATTGGCCTGGGCGATTTAAACGATTTAATTGGTTGGTTTATGGCTTGACTGGTTTCCCCCCCAAATAATCGATTTAAACGATTTAAACGATTTAATCGATTTAAACGATTTACTTGGGTCCAATTAAATCGTTTAAATCGGACGCCTGAATTAAATGGTTTAATTGGCCTGGGCGAAATAAACGATTTAATTGGACTCAATTAAATCGTGTAAACCGATTAAATCGTTTAAATCGTTTAAATCGATTTAATTGGGGGGGAGACCCAGTCAAGCCATAAACCAACCAATTAAATCGTTTAAATCGCCCAGGCCAATTAAATAGTTTAATTGGCCTGGGCGATTTAAACGATTTAATTGGGTCCAATTAAATCGTTTAAATCGGACGCCTGAATTAAATAGTTTCATTGGCCTGGGCGATTTAAACGATTTAATTGGTTGGTTTATGGCTTGACTGGGCTTCCCCCCCAATTAAATCGATTTAAACGATTTAAACGATTTAATCGATTTAACCGATTTAATTGGGTCCAATTAAATCGTTTAAATCGCCCAGGCCAATTAAATAGTTTAATTGGCCTGGGCGATTTAAACGATTTAATTGAGTCCAAATAAATCGTTTAAATCGGACGCCTGAATAAAATAGTTTAATTGGCCTGGGCGATTTAAACGATTTAATTGGTTGGTTTATGGCTTGACTGGGTTTCCCCCCCAATTAAATCGATTTAAACGATTTAAACGATTTAATCGATTTAAACGATTTAATTGGGTCCAATTAAATCGTTTAAATCGGACGCCTGAATTCAATAGTTTAATTGGCCTGGGCGATTTAAATGATTTAATTGGACTCAATTAAATCGTTTAAATCGATTAAATCGTTTAAATCGTTTAAACCGATTTAATTGGGGGGAGACCCAGTCAAGCCATAAACCAACCAATTAAATCGTTTACATCGGACGCCTGAATTAAACAATTTAATTGACCTGGGCGATTTATACGATTTATTTGAGTCCAATTAAATCGTTTAAATCGCCCAGGCCGATTAAATTATTTAATTTGCCTGGGCGATTTAAACGATTTAATTGGACCCAATTAAATCGCTTAAATCGGACGCCTGAATTAAATAAGTTAATTGGCCTGGGCGATTTAAACGATTTAATTGGACTCAATTAAATCCTTTAAATCGTTTGAATCGTTTAAATCGTTTAAATACTTATTAAAAACAGGAATGAGCTAAATAGACCCGAAAGGCTTCTCTTTCATATATATATATATATATATATAAATGTATGCACTGCACTCTCTACAGTAGTTTTTGAACATGAGCTAACACACCGACCTGAGACTGGCGCCAGAGAGAAAGAAACTCTTGCGGCGGCAAGTCCTAGGAGTCAGAACCGGCATCCGACTGCCCTCTAGCTCTGCCTGACTTTGCCTGAGCAAGAAGATGCTGGTCCAATGCAGTTCAGTACACATGCATCCCGGCTCCACTAAGGCGAACTCCCACGGAGCCACCGTCGGCCTAAGCACTCCAGCAAACTGAGCACATACCACATCGTCGACATCCACAGGCGGAGATCCCTTGCCCTCCAAGGCCCCTGCTCTTTGTCCGCTACCTACTGCATGGCAGAAGCTGGTAGCATCTTCCGAACATGTCTGCTGGTCAACGCAACGGACATGGGGAAAGTTGGTCATTTTCCGCTGTGGTCAAGTCGAGTTTCTGAAGCTGCCATTGCCCCATTTCTTGGTGATGCTTTAGGGCACCCCAGTCATTTTGGGCTTGCGCACATCATTTTTGGTTTGGCAACGACATGTTGAAGCGGAAAATCATTCGCAGACTCGTGGAGACTCGGGGCTTCATGGTCGGTCCCGCGAAAGTCTGCAGCTAGAGGGGTCTTCATGACGGTCACGCTGCACCGATTTGAGCGTCTTCGCGGTTCGTGCTTGCTTAAGGCTCAAAGTCTCGTCTTTGCTTCGGCACGCTCTGCCAGAAGCCACATATTCTGATTCATCTTCCCCACCTCCCCGATTTGCCCACTGAAAGCATTTTGCTGGCTCTGTCTCCACACGTTCCCAAGGTTACGGGCTAGCAAAGGGTTCCCTGAGGCTCTGCAGATCCGAACATCTGTGTAGCACGCGCCTTTGCTGCATCGGGACCAGGTCTCTCCTGCATGCGCATGAAGAATCGTGAAATCTGCATATATTCTGCATATGTATATACATATACGCATACACATATTTATGTATATCCGCCGAGGCCTCGGGCCGGAGGTGTATAGGTTGTCAGAACAGGCACCCCCCTCCAAATCCTCCCCCCACACCCAAAGCCCTTTTTCGGACCCCTTTTTTTGGCCTCAAATGGGTACACCCCCTGCGAAACCGGGGTCCGCAAGCGGACGGTTCGCCAGGACCAGAGGCAGTTGAAGCCTCTCCCAGCAGGGCCCCCCGCCGTTGTTCACCCCACCCCCCCCCACCACCCCCCCACCCCCTCTCCCCCCCACCCCCCTCCCCCCTCCCCCCCCCCCCACCTCCCCCCACCCCACCTCCCCCCTCCCCACCCTGCCGAAGAGTCACCTTAAACCTTAAGGGGCCTGGCTCAACCCTACGATCACTCCAAGCCGAACCCTAAACCCAAAAGAACCCTCAACCCCAAAGCGTGAACCTTGAGCCCTAAACTAACCCTCAACCCCAAACCCCAAACCATAAACCATAAACCCGGAACCCTCAACCCTCAACCCTCAACCCTCAACCCTCAACCCAACCCTTATTGCTTGGGGTCCAGCGACTTGGGCGCTGCGGAATCACCATGCTCACGCGGATGCGCTGGGCCGGGCCGAGGCGGGTCGCGTAGCGTTAAAATTAATATTATATATACGTGCATGTATTTCTAAAAATAGAATGCACATAAGGTTTCAACTATCTTCAATTCGCCAGTTTTGCTTGGGGCTCTGCCTCCAACACGGTTCGGCGCCGCGGCTGTGTAGATGCATCTGGGACCGGAATGACATCTCCTCGACGGAATGAAACAGACCTGGGGCTGTCCAAAATCTCATCAGAAGAAATTTCCTTTCGCGAAGCCATTCATTTACTTGAAGCAGCTATGAAGCTGCGAGCTTCATACAATTGAATGCACAGTTCCCAGGGCATCGGCTCTGTGCTCACACGACAAACGGACGTGGACCCGTCTTCCGGCACTCGGTCAACTCGGTCAACTCGGTCAACTCGGTCAACTCGGTCAACTCGGTCACGCTCCTTTGGCCAAGGCCTGGCTCGACGAGTGGCTCTGAGGTCTTGAAGGCATTGAAGATGCTTTAGGATAGTTTGTACGCCTTTTTAGCGCGGACACTCTACCCACCAACAAAATTCAGGAATTGCCCCAAGAAACCCCAAAACCCTGCAACGCTAGATGACAAAAGCTGACTCCATCTCCAGACTCACGTGCTGTGAACAACTTTAAGAATCTCAGATGTTTTTTCGCATGAACTCCGAGGCAACTGCGGGATTGGGCCGGCACTGCTCGAACGAGAAAGCGGGGTCATCACCGTCTGAATGGGCTCTGGCCTGGAGATGTTCACCAAAAAGCAAAATGAGCGTGACGGCTAATGAAGCTGAATTGGTGATCACACTCATTTTTGGTCCGCTACATGTAATCATCCCTTGAAATCCTTTACCGGAAAAATTGGCACACAGCTGAAGTCTCAAAGGGCAGGGTGGGGAAATCCTGACAGGAAGGAGTCTAACCCTAACCGAAGCGTTCGGGAAGTCGGGATTCACATCCCGACAGTATCTTAAGCCCAGAAGCAAATCAAAGCCAAAACGACCGCTAGAGTTCATGCACTGAGCTTGGCGGTCGGCCGGGCTCGCTCCTGCTCCCCCAAGCTCTGCCTAGGCCCAACACATCTGAACACGGCCCACTTGGCCCATTCACCGATTCAGAAGGCCGGGGTCAGGTGCTGAAAGCTTTGCCGGGTAGTCATCACCTTGACTGCGGCATCATGTGGCACGGATATGCTGACAGGCCTGAACATCCTCAAATTCCTCAAACAGAACAAGAGTTCGCGGCCTCTGTGAGCTGCAACCTCACTGCCGGCTAATTTGAACAAGCATTCTCCCACACAACCCATTCTGCACTAAGGTCATTTAGCAATACGTCAAAACGGCGTGAGCGCTGGGCATCTTGCACGCGGCTCTCTCAGCCTGAGGGGTGGACGCCAAAGCCTCTCGCTCACGTCGCCCGTTTTCCTGGCAGCGCGATACTGTGCGGCCACGCGCTCCCAAGGCGATTGGGAAATCGCGCTGCGATGAGGCTACGATTAGGTGTCTGCATCGGTGTCTGCTCTCACTGCTCTCCCTTTGAGCTGCTGGCCAGCTCCCTGTGATGCGCCTGTCGCTCTGCTTGCATTTCGGACAGCACCTTCGCAACCTCGGCTTACTTGCGCCAAGTCCAGAGGCAAAGGCACCTTCTTCCCAGGATCGTCTAGGGGCACAGCTGTGGCTTGCTCAGCGGTGGCCTGACTGGATGCCATGCTCTGCCCCATTGAAGAAATCGCAGAGTTGCTCGAGAGATCTTGTCAATGTGATTGTTTATATCTGATGGTGCCGCGCGACTGCGGTGCTCGTAGCATTGGTGGTATTTGCGGGGTTTGTGGCATTTGTGGCATGGCCTTGGTATAGGCCAGCTCGGCTGATCCGACAGAGGATCGCATTTGGACCATCGCGCTCTCTGCGTGTTCCCGCAGCAGCTGCAGCTCGCTATCTCGCTGCCGGTTCTGAGCTTCCCAGAGCTTCGAGAGCTGCTGCACCTCAGCAAAGAATTCCCTCCAGCCCATGTAGCCCCATGGGGCTAGTGCACGCCGTCTGGAGCCTCGAAGACGTGTCTGAGGCACCCGGCACTTTCATGCTGCTGCTCTACGAGCTCACCGACAACTTGCTCTTTGCTGCGGCTGACTTCCTTTGGCAAAAGTGCGAGCAGTAGTTTGGAGACGTTTGGAGAAGGCCCTCGTTTACTGTGAAGATTCCTGTATGACTCTATGCCCGTTGCGGCGCCTCTCTGAGCTTCTGCCACTTGGGCTCCTCGGCAGCTACATAGTCCTGCGAGCCAAAGTGTGATCTGAAATCAAAGAGGTCGAAGGCTTCGGTGGCCCACCTGAAATTTCTGGTCCAGCAGCCGCTCGAGAGACTTTGTCAGGAAAGCACCTTCATTTGCTGCCTGAGCACTCAGGGCTTGAAGCGTCGCTCATAAGCCTTGCAAGTTCTGAGGACATGACAGCAATAGCCTCCTGTTTTCGGGCTTCTGCCGCAGCAGCTGCGGCAAGGCCTTGGACACAAAAAGACACATGCCACGGAGACTCTATCCACTGCACCCGATGATGCAGTGTTTCAAAGCACGTGGAGGATAGAACCGCTCGTGGAAATCAGTGCTTGGGCTTCACGCTGCGTGTTTCTTGGAGCTCCTGCCGAAGTTGCGCGAGCTCCTGCTGATGTGGGGCTATGTGGGCCCAGCCAGCATCGTGAAGCTAGGCTGCACAGGGATGCACATGGAACTGTGGGGCATCCTGGTCAAACTGAGAGGAGCCCTGCTTCATTGCTTCCACCATCGAGTCCTCAGGTTGATGAAGAAGAGAAGCTGGGGAGTATAGAAACTTGCTTGTCAAGGACCTGTATGAAGGACTGCAGCTGGCTTCCGAGCCTAGTCACAGACAGGCAAGCATAGATCGATAACAAAACGACTGCATACAGTCGGACAAGTTGCTCTTGTATGCCCAGCTGCTGGGAAGCACCTGCCTCAGTGTGTCGTGAACATGTGCAAGTTTTGCGTGCAAGTTTTGCACCTGTTTTTTACAAGTACACACTTACACTCGAGCACACTTGACGGCCCCACTGCCAGAGCCCTGACTGCTCTGCCAGCTCGCTGCCCTGGCGCCAGGCGGCCAATTCACACAACGCCAGTCTGCTTCTTGCTTGCGCACAGCCGGGAGCGCCCCACATGCAAAGCCTCAGCTCCACTGCTCGCATGATGCCACATGTCACGAAGCAGCTGACAGGAAGGGCTCGCACTCGTCGCGTGTTCGAACCAGCCATTGCATCATGGCCTTGCATGGTCAAGGGCCGTCATTGATGGAGACAGCCTTCGGCACCAAGCCCAGGGCATCCGCTTCCTGAAGAGCCACCGACGGCCTGGACTACAGCGACTACACAGGTATGGAGCTGGAACCACATTCAACTAATGTTGAGCGATGTCGCTGAGAGCCATGGGAAGCCTCTTGGAGGTCCAGCAATGCCTGCAGTGTTTACATGAACTCACATACATCTCAAGCGTAGGCCCTCTTCCGACTCTTCCGACTCTTCTGGCTTGCGACTACGGTCCTGCAGCGTGCGGCGAAGGAAGACAGACAAGGCCATCAGGCTGCCCCCTCAGCTCAGCTGTGCCAGAAGAAAAATGCAGGCAATCCGATTAAGCGCAGCAGCCGGAAGATGCCACCGGCGACTCGTCGTCATCCTGAGGCAGGATTTCCGTGCGTGATCTGTGCGTGGTTTTGAAACTGCTGGGCTGCAACGCAGCTGCAGCCTCTACACGCAGCTCTGCCCTCAACTCTGAGAGCGGCTTTCTGACCTGAGCTGTGTGAGCTTTAAGTTGGTGGATCATAAACTAAACCCTTAAACCTTCTTGAGCTGCTTTCGGCTCGGCCTCTACTGTGTCGCTGGGGTCCGAACAAGCAGCCCAATCGCATCGGGCAGCCAGCGCGATGCTTGCAGTAGGGCGAGCGTTGCCTGACGGGGTGAAGAAAAGGTAAGAGCGAAAAAAGCGAGGCAAAGCACACAGATTATAAACAAAAAAACTAAAACTATGTATATGTATATATATATGGTCACCCCCCCCCCCATGATCTAGGTTTTGCTTTGTCCCTATAAAAACCCTCGTAAATACCGATTAAAATGACATGCTGGCTATGCTAGGCGATGTCCTGTTTTTGCACGTCTAGTCCTATGCGAGAAAACATCTAAATAGTGGAAAAACGCGTGTGTTTAGCACTACTTCCACATCACCACATAAAAAAACAACCAAAAAACACATGAAAATGCAATTTGGTAAACATGTCTATGAATTATTTGCATAGGACAGGCTTATAAACACAGAATTGTATGCAAAAAACACTTCTTTTTTGCAGAATTTGCAAAATTTGACACAAATCCAAAAATCCAAAAATCCAAAAATTCAAAACCATGGAGCCGGGAGGCCGCCTTTTTTGGATTTTTTGGTTTTCTCGAGGTTTTTTTGGTTTTTTTTGGAAAAATCCAAAAAAAACCATGTGTTTTTTTGGATTTTACTTGCTCCTGGCCTCAAAAACCTAAAAAACACATGGTTTTTTTTGGATTTTGAGTGAAAATCCAAAAAAACCCTCGTGTTTTTTTGGATTTCAGGTGCTCCTGGTCTCAGAAACTAAAAAAACACATGGGTTTTTTTGGGTTTTCACTCAAAATCCAAAAAAAACCATGTGTTTTTTAGGTTTTTGAGGCCAGGAGCAAGTAAAATCCAAAAAAACACATGGTTTTTTTTGGATTTTTCCAAAAAAAACCAAAAAAAACCTCGAGAAAACCAAAAAATCCAAAAAAGGCGGCCTCCCGGCTCCATGGTTTTGAGTTTTTGGATTTTTGGATTTTGGGATTTTTTAGCAAATTTAGCAAATTTTGCAAACAAAATGCTTTTCTTGCATAAAGAATGTGTATTGTTATAAGTTGGTTCTTCTAACGTGACTGCCTTGCACACCCACAGAGAAAAACACACAAACACACCCACCATTTCGTTGTTATTTCAATTCAGCCTGTTCGGTATGCAGGGCGTAGCGCTAACATGTAAAGTTCCATTAGATTAAATTACGAATGAGGCTTAGAAGAGGATGTCTTGGGATGTGGCGTCTCAATATAAAAAGTAATATAGAATGAAATAGAGAGGGTTTCTTAGGGCGTGTTTCTGAAGATGTGGACCTGCAATTCAAAAGTCTAATTGTACTTCAAAAAGAGTGGGGCTTCGAAGAGGATGTCTTGGGGTGTGGCCTCTTAATTTAAACGTCTATTTAAGTGGAATCACAAACGAAGTCCAGATGAGGATTTCTTAGGGTGTGGTGTTTTAGTGCAAACCTCAAATTACATTTCATTACGACGCGGGGCCAGAGGAGACTTTCACAGGGTGTGGTCGGTAAAATAGAATTCCAAAGAGGGAGGCTTAGAAGAGCGTGGCCTCTTAATTGTTTTACTTGGTTTGGTTTTACGAACGAAGCTGTGGCTTTATCATACACAGGTCTTAGGGTGTGGCCTTTGAAATTCTGTCTAAAGGGGTGTGGCCTCTAAACTTAAAAGTTCAATTTATGTGGAATTACAAACGAGTCCAGATGAGGATTTCTTAGGGTGTGGCGTTTTAATACAAACCTCAAATACCATTTTATTACGAAGCGAGGCCAGGGGAGAATTTCATAGGGTGTGGTCTGCAAAATAAAATTCGAAATAGGTAGTAACCAATGAAGCTTAGAAGAGGATGTCTTGGGGCGGGGCCTCTTAATTTATTTGCTTGACTTGGGTTTAATTACTAACGAAGCTATGGCTTTATCATACACAAGTCTATGGACATTTCACTAATAGGCCCCAGAAGAGGATTTCATAGAGTGTGGCGGTTAAATATGGAATTGTAAGTACATTCAAATACGATACGAATGGGGGCTCATGATAAAAAAATTCTGTGCAAGAGTTACATACGAACCTAGCCTAGGTCAGAACTTCTTAGGGTGTGGGCTTCTTACCTAGAATTATAAACTTCTTATGAGATTCTGTTACGAACAGGCCCCAGAATGGTGTGGCATTTTTAATACAAGCATCTAGGCAAATCGAAAATAAGTCTAATTACAAACGAATGTCTAATGAGTATTCTTGGGGTGTGGCTTTGTAATACAGACTTCTAATTAATCTTCATTACAAATAAGGGCCAGAAAGGGATTTCATAGGGTGTGGTCTGCAATATAAAATTCTAACTCGGCTTCATTGCGAGGGATGTCCTTGGGCTGGCCTCTGAATATACACTTGCTTTACTTGGGTTCAATTACGAACGAAGCCCAGAAGAGGATTTCTTAGGGTGTGGGTTTACAATATGAAATCAAATTGCATTTCATGTCGAATGGAGCCAGAGGAAGATTTCATTGGGTGTGGGAAGAACAAAAAGATTCTAAATAGGTATTAACCAATGAGGCTTAGAAAAGGATGTCTTGGGGCTGGGCCTCTTAGCATGTTTTTTAACTTGGGTTAATTACGAACAAAGCTGTGGCTTTATCAGACACAAGTCTACTGAAATTTCATTAAGAGGGCCCAGAAGAGGACTTCATAGGGTGTGGCCTTTAAGGATAGAATTCTTTCCTAGGGTGTGGGCTTCTTATATAGAAGCACTTTCTCAATAAACTAGGAAGGAAGCCCAGATGAGGATTTCTGAGGCTGTAACCTCTGCATATAAAGTTCTTGTGAGATTTTGTTACGGACAGGCAGGCCCCAGAAGAGGATTTCATAGGGTGCGGCTTTTAATTGGCAAATTTAGATTTCTAAATAAATTTTACTACGAATGAGGCCAGTGGCCTTTTAATTTTCATTCCGAATTAGGTTTAAATCTCGTTTCGATGGGCCCGAAAGGCCTTCCGACCTAGATCATGGGGGGGGGGGTGAGCATATATATATATATATGTGTAGGTGTATATAAATATATACAGACACAAGCACATGCACGCACACACATACATAGATACATAGAAGCAAGCGCCAAAGCATCCCCTCGGTCCGTGCGCCTCGTCGGCTCCGAGGCTTGGACTCGGCACCTCCTCCGTCGGCTGCCAGCGCCGGTCTTTGTCCTTCCTCCTTTTCTTTCTTTCTTTCTTTCTTTCTGTTCTCCCTTCCCTCTCTCTCCTCTCGATCAAGCTAAACGAACCTACCCCGAGCCTTAAGTCGGAAACCGGCTCGGCATGGGAGTGGGGTCGCCTGGAGGGCCTGGCAACATCTGGCCACATCTGGCAACTGTCACCTGTATGCCACGACAAAAAGCACTGGCCTGGCACGCGAGACACTCCTCTGCCTGCCGGGCTGCAGCGGTGTGGGTGCAGGATGACCCTTTCAAGCGGTGCACGTGGGCCTGGCCCCTGCTTTCGCGCTGCCTGGGACCTTTCGGAGTGGAAAGGAGACTCAAGAAGGCATTGAAGGTACATGGAAGGCACAACCAAGCGCCTGACCCCTCCCGGGGCAGGCGATGCAGGTGCCCGCATTAGGTTGCAATGCACTTTGCCATGTCCGAATTCGGATAACTGAGACTCTGAGAGGGCGAGAGCTCTCTCTTACCATCATTGATCATTAGTGCGGCACCTCACTCTTCTTGCTCTTACAACATAGCACATCATAGCACGTCGTGATAGTGCATTGCTCAATGGCACATAGTGAGTTGTTCAAGCCAATCAAGCCAATGGCTCTGCAGGCAAGCGCAAGCTTTTGCAACTTGCCATCAACCGAACTGATCTGCACTGGAAACGGCCGGTCCTTCTCTACCTCTGCGGCATGTCGACGCACTTGCCTCGACGGAATGGGTAGCGAGAAAACGGGGAGCGGACTGGTACAAATGTCTACATTTTGATCCGCCGAGGCCTGGGGCAGTAGGTGTCTGGGTAGCACAAAGCAGGCACCCGACCTCTAATCCCCTCCCCACACCCCACGGACAGGTTTGCCTCCCTTTATTTCGCATTTTTTGGCCTGAAAGGGGTACCCCCCGTAGCCGACAGGTGTCCGGAAACAGACGGTGCATCATGACCAGCGGGGCATCTGCCCCGCCACAGGCCCCCCCGCCACCCCCCCAATCCCCACCCGCACCCCCCGCCTCGTCAAGGAAGGCGACTAGCGTTAAAACTAGTAGGTTGACTTGTGCACGAAAATGGATCGATTTGACAGCGCCCTAGCAAGCGAGATCGGACCTTGGAGCAATGGACAACAAGAACGAGATGCTGTAGCGGGGTGTCTTGGGCGAGGCTATGTAAAACTTACACACACACACACACACACGTATATATATATATATATATCATACAAAAAGATAGATAAATACTAGAATATATGTATAATATATATATATATATACATATACATATCCATGTCCATGTCGTAAGTTCATGCTGCTTCCAGGCATAAACAGGCCCTACCAAACCAGCCAGATTGCAGAACAAGAACTGACCGAACGATGGAGTGGTGTGTCAGGTGAACAAGTGGACGCTGAGTCAAAGACGAAATACAAGTCCCAAAGGTCGTGGTGACCCAAACCGCATGAACCCCAGTTTGGACACACCTTGTGCTTAAGCAAGTACTAGGACCAAGCTGGCTTTTTGGGGTGAGTGAACTTGCCGCCGAGAGGCACAGCAAGCCTGTGCATGATGGCCAGGAGATCAGCCTGTCTCTGCAGCACGGACATCACCAGAAAGCTCACTTCGGCGTCACTCTTGCGAGCCTTACCCTCCTGATCATCCTTCGGTGGAGGGTAGACTGAGAGATCGCCAAGAAACAAGGCCTGCTCCTGCAGATTGCCAGGCTCTTGCGATTCTCTAAAATCTGCAGCCAGGAAACAAGCAGTCCTTATACATGATGAAGGAGCAGTAGCAGCCCTGCTCTACGCTTTCAACTTGACGATCGTACTTGTCGACGAAGGCCTGAAATGAAATGAAATGGACGGGGTCCAGTTCCTCGCAACAGGACTTCAGCTCGCACTCGATGGCCTTCATGGCAGTGTGAAATGTATCGTTGGCATCAATTGTCTCCTGCAGCGCTCAAGCATGCTCAGAGCAATTCTTACGGCAGTACAGATTCTAGGCCTCAGCCTCATCTCTTGATGCTTTGGTCATCCTCCTGCTGCCCGAGTAGCCAACGCTGCGGCATGCTGCGACATGGACACTGGACAACTGCTCCGCATCAGCTCTCCGCATGAGCTCCACTCCTTCGCTCCATCTTCACCTTCTCTCCGGTCACAACGCTCTGGTATCTGCCTCAGAGTCTCAAAGCGTCTCATCTCACACCAAATAACACAAGCAAATCATTCAAATCAGTGGAGCTGCGCCTGTCTCGCATATCTCGCGGATGGCCTGGAAGCCCTGCGTCAGCTCAGTGCAGTCCTGCTCCGCCGAAACATCTGCCGAAACATGTGTCGAAACGTGCTTCTCTGCAAAACTTGACCTAGATGGAGCAAGTTGAACAAGAACCGGTCCTGGTACACTGTGAAGCTCTTCATCGCCTTCGCTTTGGCCAGCAGTGTCACATCCTGCCACACACGCTCCAAACGGGTCCAAAGGCTGTACGTGGGCTTTGAAAACTGCAAGGTCCGAGCCTCATCTGAGAAAAGTGAAGAAGACTCGGAGGATGTCATCATGGCCAGGATGAAATGCAGCATGTTGTGCTGACGCAGGGATGCACGCACGCACGCACGCACGCACGCACGCACGCACGCACGCACGCACGCACGCACGCACACACACACACACACACACACAGACAGAGAGACACAGACACACAGACACACAGACACACAGACACACAGACACACAGACACACAGACACACAGACACACAGACACACAGACACAGACACACACACACACACACACACACACACACACACACACACACACACCCACACCCATGGTTTCATCCTGGTACTTTCAAGTTCACTTTCTGCTGCTTCCCGTATGCCAGCTCCCATCATGAATCCACCAGCAGCGATGCTGCATGACTTGGCAATCTCACACTGCTTCCCACGAACGGCCTTCGGAGAAGCTGTCGATTTGGTCTGGATCTTGGGTGCGAGAACTTGTGCGAAAACACCAATGAACGAAACACCACTGAACACCGCTACTGTGTATCGTACTGATCGTGGATTCCGCCCCTGGGCTCAGAGATTCTGAGCTGAGGACCAGCTTTTCAAGCGAAGAGAGGCTGAAGCCGTTCGGAGCCTGTGGCGCCTGCATCTCGCTCGAATCATGTCCACCACTGCCGGAGGGCGGTTTATTTCCGCGGCTGGCCACATTTTCATCTTGCGGTTCACCATGCCCTTCTTGCTCTCTGTGCTACATCCATTGGGAAAAAAGCATAGGTCTTAGCCTGACCCGTTGGGCGGAGATCTAACTCCCGATGCAGGACAAGGTTCAACCCGTGGCCTTTCTGTTTGCTAGAAAGAGCACCTGGTAACACCTGTACCAAAGAGAGTTTCGGAACGACAGACTCAATCAGCTGGATTGCCTGAGCTGCATCCCCTTGCTCAGTCTTGGTCGGTGCTTCTCATTGTCAACCTTCACAGTATGTGGTCACACTGGTCCCTGGAGCTTGTTCACCGTAGTCTGGCAGTCGCCATGCTCCGGGCTGCTGCAGGCACCACATTCAACCGTTGGTGGGCATGCCTGAAAGGAATCTGACTGACAATGGCATCGTGAACACCGATCGCAATGGTCTCCAAGTGAAGTCGTATGACAGAGTCGATGGGCAGCTGTCGCTTGCAGTAGCGATGCTTGCAGGCTTGCAGTAATCATAAAAGGTCTGCAACGTTCATGGGCAACTCCTCGACCAATACCCCGAAGAAGGCCTCGACATCATTCAGAGCGGGAATGGTTTCTTGGGTTACAAGGTTGATGGCTACTCCTTGGGTTCTGTCGCGCCGTCCCAGACGATGAAGATAGATTTCCCTTGTAGTTGGGAAGTCAAAATTGATGACCATCTCTGCCCGTGGCGTATCAATTCCCTTTGCCAAGAGGTCTGTGCAAATCAACACGCCAAACACAGCCGAGCGAAACCCCTGTAGCGCCGCTTCCCTCTCTCGTTGCGGAACTTCAGCATGCACCATGAAGATCGTGTATCCATGCTGGGCAAGACGATCTGTAAGCGTGTGGCGCATCAGGAAGTCCACCTTGCGACGGGTGTTGCAGTAGACAATTACCTGTCTCGTCGGCAGGGCCTCGAAGAGGTCACAGAGTGTGTCAACCTTCGACTCCTCTCTGTCGACATCCACGTAAAATTGACGAGTGCCCTCCAAAGTCAGAGCCTCCCTCGTCATTCGAATCGTCACCGCATTTCTCACGAATCTCGAGATCAGCTCCAAAAACTCTGGCTCCCTCGTTTCCAAGCTCGCACAGACCTGGACGTCTGGAGGAAGAGCTCTGAAAATATCGTAGAGTTGGTCCTGGGTTGTCGCTGCATCAAATTTGAAATAGACATAACAGACTCTAGACACTTCAGAAGCAAAACAACCAGAAACCAAAGCAAGTCAACCGGAAACAAGCGTCACCAAATCCACGAGAAGACAGCTCCTGCCCTTCGTCCAAGACGACGATCTTCAGGCCATCCACTTGCAAAACGAATCTGTTCATCATGTCAAGTGTACGGCCGGGTGTTCCGATCACCACGTGTGGCTGATCCCTCAAAGCAGTGACATCCTCCCTAATGTTGGCGCCACCAACAAGACCGTGAGTCTTGAGCCCTCTGCTTGGCGGACTCAGGCTGCAAAAGACCGAGCGAATGCCGTGTGCCAGCTCACGCGTTGGACAAAGGACAAGAGCCTGGCACCCCTCAATAGAGCAATCCACACGCTGCAGGCAGCCAATTATCAAGGCCGTGGTCTTCCCCACGCCGGATTGCGCCTCCAGAAGCGTGTCTCGTCCATCCAGGATTGGCAACATGCAACGCTGCTGAACGGAGCTGGGCCGATCAATGCCGTAAGCGTAGATGTTCCGTAAAAGATCTTTCTCCAAGCCAGTGTCATCGAACGACTCGCATAGTGGATACTCCTCCCCACCCACAATTTCTGAATGCATGGCTACCGAAAGAGCACCTGGTTGGTGCAGCTCATTGGCACTCTTGTGGTTCTTGGCCGTGGACGATCGCAAACCGCCAACTGTGTCGTGCAACACCTACAAAAAGGAACTGCCATGTGGTATCATGTAGCTACTCAAGGTCCGTTGAAGATCTGAGCGGCGGCAAAGAATACAGTCGAACACAGTTGACTCCTTGACCAATATGTGCTTCTGCATGCATCTGTGTGAACAACGCAAGTGAGGAAAGCACGAGGCAGTTGCTGTTCAGAACGGTGCCGAGGCGGTGAGCCATTGTGAAGAACCTGGCAGTCGGGCACAGGCTAAACTTCTGCTTTGGCTAAACTGTTAAGCAGGGGGTCGGGGGGAATAGAACAGGGGGTGGCGGGGCTGTTGGGGGAGGGGGGGGGGGGGTGGGTGGCTTAAATAGGGTCTATTTGGAAGCTGAGACTCGGGTTTTTAGACTAACCAATGCGTCTCCACGAGAGTATTCTTGGAAGCTGAGAGTGGTGTTTTTGTGTGGTAGATACAAAGGAAAGGGCATAAGAAAGTAGCGAAAGGAGCTCCTCAATTCCCTTCCTTATCTCCTATGCTCTTTTCTGTATTCATTGCAACAGGAGAATACAGGAAAAGGGCCTCCATTCCCCTCTTGTTCTTCCTTTCTTGTGTTTTTGTCATTTAAAGGGGAACAGGAGAAGAGAAGGGAAAGAGAAGGAGAGAGGAGAGATAAAAGGAAGACAATTTTAATGGGAAGAGCCAAGAAAAGAATAGAAAAGAGAGATGAACAAAGAAGATGGAGAGACAAAACAAGGCGCAAAGAAAATGGCACTCTTCTTTATCTATCCTCTCTCCCTTCTCTCTCCCTTCCCTCTTTCTTTTCGAAACAGAAAAACGAAAAAGGAAGAACTTGAAAAGGAGAAGGGTAAGGAAAAGAGCAGAAGAGACAGGCCGAAAAGAGGGATATGATGAAGTATGGGCAAGGTCCACGCGCAAGGAGTCACTCTCTGCTTACCCTTCCACTGCTTTATCATACAAGTTCCTTTCTTGTGTTATATTAGTTAAAAGGTAACAGAAGGAGAGAAGGGCAAGGGAAGTGAGAGAGGAGAGACAACAAGGAGGCCATTTGAATTTTCTGGAGGGGTACTGAAAAGAAGAGAAGACACAATAAACAAGGAGACGGATAGCACTCTTCTTTATCTATCATCTGTCCCTTCCTTGTCTCTCGCTTTTCCCTCTATAATTAAAAAAATAGGTGCCCTCTCTCCTCTTCAGGAAGCCCCCTTGCCCTTATTTTGCTAGCTTTCTGAAACGACAAGGAAAACAATACATAGAAAGAGAGGAAAGGGAATGAAACAATAGGCAGTGGAGCTCTTCAGTGTCTTTACCTATCTCTTTTCTTCTTTTTCTTTTTAATTCAATAAGGAAAAGAAGCTTCCTTTGGTGTGATTTTGAGATTCAAAAGAGAACAAGAGAAGAGAAGGGAGAGAGAAAGGAGAGAGGAGAGATCAAAAGGAAACAATTTTCATGGGAAGAGCAATGAAAATCATGGAAGAGAAATGAAGACAGGAGAGGGAGGTGCAAAATCAGGCAAAGAGAAGATGGTGCTCGTTTTCTTCTTTCCTCTCTTTCTTATCTTTCCCTTTTAAATAAAAAACAAAAGGAAGAACAATGAACATGTAAAGGAACCCATTTTCTTTTTCCGTTTGGGAACAAGGAAAAGAACAGAGGCGATAGGGCGAGAGGAGGGATTTGCTGCAGCGTGGGGAGGGTCTACGGACAAGGAGCCAACCCCGCTCACTTTCCCCATCCATTGGAAAAGAAAGGAACATGGCCTCCATTCCCCTCTTGTTCTTCCTTTCTTGCGTTTTTGTCATTTAAAGGGGAACAGGAGAAGAGAAGGGAGAGAGAAGGAGAGAGGAGAGACAAAAGGACTGCATTGTTAATGGGAAGAGCAAAGAAAAGAATAGAAGAGAGATGAATAGAGAAGAGGGAGAGACAAAACAAGGCGCAGAGAAGATGGCACTCACTCTTTATCTATCCTCTCTTCCTTATCTCTCCCTGCCATCTTTCTTTTCGAAATAAGAAAACAAAAAAGGAAGAACTATGAGAAGGAGAAGGGTAAGGAAAAGAACAGAAGAGATAGGCCGAGAGGAGGGGTATGATGAAGTATGGACCGGTCCACGCGCCAGGAGTCACCCTCTGCTTACCCTTCCACTGCCTTATCATACAAGTTCCTTTCTTGTGGTTTATCAGTCAGAAGGAAACAGAAGGAGAGAAGGGAAAGGAAAGTGAGAGGAGATAACAAGGATGCCATTTTTCTGGAAGCGCAACTGTACCGGAATGTGGCCACAACAAGCAGGCCAGGGAGGCTCAGGCGGGGCAAGTCTCTCCCAAATTACAAAAAATCAACCTTGCTATTCACAGGTAGGCGCCCTTCTTCCTCTTCAGGAAATCGCCTTTCCCTTATTTTGTTATTTTGCTTTTTGAAGCGAATAAGAAAAACAACAAATAAGAAGAGAGGACAGGGAATGACTAGGTAAAGAGAGGAGCTTTTCAATTTCCTCCCTATCTCTTATGTTACTTTTCCTTCTTGGGCGGGTGTCCTTTTTTCTTCCTTGAAGATGCAGAAAACTATCAAAAAGGACACCCGTTCCATCGCCCACAATTCCCTTCCTTATCTCCTATGCTCTTTTCCTTATTCATTGCAACAGGAGAATTCAGGAAAAGGGCCTCCATTCCTCTCTTGTTCTTCCTTTCTCGTGTTTTTGTCATTTAAAGGGGAACAGGAGAAGAGAAGGGAAAGAGAAGGAGAGAGGAGAGATAAAAGGAAAACAATTCTAATGGGAAGAGCCAAGAAAAGAATAGAAAAGAGAGATGAACAAAGAAGATGGAGAGACAAAACAAGGCGCAAAGAAAATGGCACTCTTCTTTATCTATCCTCTCTCCCTTCTCTCTCCCTTCCCTCTTTCTTTTCGAAACAGAAAAACGAAAAAGGAAGAACTTGAAAAGGAGAAGGGTAAGGAAAAGAGCAGAAGAGACAGGCCGAAAAGAGGAATATGATGAACTGAAAAGAAGAGAAGACACAAGAAACAAGGAGACGGATAGCACTCTTCTTTATCTATCATCTGTCCCTTCCTTGTCTCTCGCTTTTCCCTCTATAATTAAAAAAATAGGTGCCCTCTCTCCTCTTCAGGAAGCCCCCTTGCCCTTATTTTGCTAGCTTTCTGAAACGACAAGGAAAACAATACATAGAAAGAGAGGAAAAGGAATGAAACAATAGGCAGTGGAGCTCTTCAGTGTCTTTACCTATCTCTTTTCTTCTTTTTCTTTTTAATTCAATAAGGAAAAGAAGCTTCCTTTGGTGTGATTTTGAGATTCAAAAGAGAACAAGAGAAGAGAAGGGAGAGAGAAAGGAGAGAGGAGAGATCAAAAGGAAACAATTTTCATGGGAAGAGCAATGAAAATCATGGAAGAGAAATGAAGACAGGAGAGGGAGGTGCAAAATCAGGCAAAGAGAAGATGGTGCTCGTTTTCTTCTTTCCTCTCTTTCTTATCTTTCCCTTTTAAATAAAAAACAAAAGGAAGAACAATGAACATGTAAAGGAACCCATTTTCTTTTTCCGTTTGGGAACAAGGAAAAGAACAGAGGCGATAGGGCGAGAGGAGGGGATTTGCTGCAGCGTGGGGAGGGTCTACGGACAAGGAGCCAACCCGCTCACTTTCCCATCCATTGGAAAAGAAAGGAACATGGCCTCCATTCCCCTCTTGTTCTTCCTTTCTTGCGTTTTTGTCATTTAAAGGGGAACAGGAGAAGAGAAGGGAGAGAGAAGGAGAGAGGAGAGACAAAAGGACTGCATTGTTAATGGGAAGAGCAAAGAAAAGAATAGAAGAGAGATGAATAGAGAGGAGGGAGAGACAAAACAAGGCGCAGAGAAGATGGCGCTCACTCTTTATCTATCCTCTCTTCCTTATCTCTCCCTGCCATCTTTCTTTTCGAAATAAGAAACAAAAAAGGAAGAACTCTGAGAAGGAGAAGGGTAAGGAAAAGAACAGAAGAGATAGGCCGAGAGGAGGGGTATGATGAAGTATGGACCGGTCCACGCGCCAGGAGTCACCCTCTGCTTACCCTTCCACTGCCTTATCATACAAGTTCCTTTCTTGTGGTTTATCAGTCAGAAGGAAACAGAAGGAGAGAAGGGAAAGGGAAGTGAGAGGAGATAACAAGGATGCCATTTTTCTGGAAGCGCAACTGTACCGGAATGTGGCCACAACAAGCAGGCCAGGGAGGCTCAGGCGGGGCAAGTCTCTCCCTAATTAGAAAAATCAATCTTGCTTTTCACAGGTAGGCGCCCTTCTTCCTCTTCAGGAAATCGCCTTTTATTTAATTCCCCCCCTGGAAGAAAATAATTTAAATAATTTAAATAATTTAAATAATTTAAATCCGAAAAGGGGGGGGGGGGCAGGCCCCACCGGGCCCCTCCCCCTCCCAGAATTAAATAATTTAAATAATTTAAATCCTGAACACCCCTTTCGGATTTAAATTATTTAAATTATTTAATTCTGGGAGGGGGAGGGGGCCCGGTGGGGCCTGCCCCCCCCCCCTTTTCGGATTTAAATTATTTAAATTATTTAAATTATTTAAATTATTTAAATTATTTAATTCCAGGGGGGGGGAATTAAATAATGTAAATAATTTAAATCTGAAAGGGGGGGTTCGGATTTAAATTATTTAAATTATTTAATTACCCCCCCCGGAATTAAATAGTTTAAATAATTTAAATAATTTTTTTTTTTTTTGGTTTTTCTTTTTGTTTTTTTTTTTTTTTTTTTTTTTTTTTTTTTTTTTTTTTTTTTTTTTTTTTTTTTTTTTTTTTTTTTTTTTTTTTTTTTTTTTTTTAACTAATTTAAATGTTCCGAAGAGGGGGGGGGGGGGCCAGCCCCACCAGGCCCCCTCCCTCCCAGAATTAATAATTTACATAATTTAAAATCGAAGGGGAAAGGGTGTTCAGGATTTTAAATTATTGAAATATTTAAAATTTTTAAATTTTTAAATTATTTAAATTATTTAAATTATTTAAATTATTTAAATTATTTAAATTATTTAATTCCAGGGGGGGAATTAAATAATGTAAATAATTTAAATCTGAAAGGGGGGGTTCGGATTTAAATTATTTAAATTATTTAATTCCCCCCCCCCGGAATTAAATAATTTAAATAATTTAAATAATTTAAATAATTTAAATAATTTAAATAATTTAAATAATTTAAATAATTTAAATAATTTAAATCCGAAAAGGGGGGGGCCAGGCCCCACCGGGCCCCCTCCCCCTCCCAGAATTAAATAATTTAAATAATTTAAATCCGAAAGGGGTGTTCAGGATTTAAATTATTTAATTCTGGGAGGGTGAGGGGGCCCGGTGGGGCCTGCCCCCCCCCCTTTCGGATTTAAATTATTTAAAGTATTTAAATTATTTAAATTATTTAAATTATTTAAATTATTTAAATTATTTAAATTATTTAAATTATTTAAATTATTTAAATTATTTAAATTATTTAATTCCGGGGGGGGGAACTAAATAATTTAAATAATTTAAATCCGAACCCCCCCTTTCAGATTTAAATTGTTTAAATTATTTAATTCCCCCCCCGGAATTAAATAATTTAAATAATTTATATAATTTAAATCCGAGAAGGGGGGGGGCCAGGCCCCACCAGGCCCCCTCCCCCTCCCGGAATTAAATAATTTAAATAATTTGAATCCGAAAGGGGTGTTCAGGATTTAACTTATTTAAATTATTTAATTCTGGGAGGGGGAGGGGCCCGGTGGGGCCTGGCCCCCCCCCCCTTTTCGGATTTAAATTATTTAAATTATTTAAATTATTTAAATTATTTAAATTATTTAAATTATTTAAATTATTTAAATTATTTGAATTATTTAAATTATTTAAATTAATTAAATTATTTAAATTATTTAAATTATTTAAATTATTTAAATTATTTAAATTATTTAATTCCAGGGGGGGAATTAAATAATTTAAATAATTTAAATCTGAAAGGGGTGGTTCGGATGTAAATTATTTAAATTATTTAATTCCCCCCCCCCGGAATTAAATAATTTAAATAATTTAAATAATTTAAATAATTTAAATAATTTAAATAATTTAAATCCGAAAAGGGGGGGGGCCAGGCCCCACCAGGCCCCCTCCCCCTCCCAGAATTAAATAATTTAAATAATTTAAATCCGAAAGGGGTGTTCAGGATTTAAATTATTTAAATTATTTAATTTTGGGAGGGGGAGGGGCCTGGTCCTGCTGCTCCCCCCCCCTTTTCGGATTTAAATTATTTAAATTCTTTAAATTATTTAAATTATTTAAATTATTTAAATTATTTAAATCCTTGCCCCAGACCCCCCAGAAACGATAATAGGGTCTATTTGGAAGTTGTCTCTTGTAAACAAGTATACGTTTTGGGGCCTTATTTCCTCTTTAAAACACGAGTCTCAGCTTCCAAATAGACCCTATTTAAGCTGCACACGGGGGGGGGGGGGGGGCTTCATTCTGAAAGACCCATACAGACCTGACGCATGCGAGTTCGGGGACCTCTTGGGCCTTGGGCATTTTCAAAAGGGTCTGACGTCCAAGCAGAGCTTCCTCCGCCCTTGTTTATGTGGATCGGCATATCACAGTGTTTGGAAGAGGCGTTTGGCAATCCACCGGGCGCCTGCTGGCTCAGGGTCCTTGACCTCTTGTCTTTCGCCCAAGCCTTTCCCTTTTGCTTGCGCCGCTGCTTCCAGCTTTTGTCGTGCCCATGTGCCCAAACATGTTCGAAAGCATCTGGGCCAAAAGACTCCCGGCTCCTGCACCCTACCTCAATGATTGTGGGTGAATTTGCCTCCTCGGCCACGAGACGGACTGTCAGAAGCTGCCGAACCACTACATGCATGAGCCGCATAGGCCCCTCGACCTTTACCAGTTGGGCCTCGGATCCAACCCTCGGCCTTCGACATTGTGCCACTAAAGGTCCGCAGGCTCGTAGGAATGCAGACACCCCCCCCTGGCAAGAGCGACAATCGGCCCTTGTTTGCCCTGGTGAAGACCCGGCTCGTGGGCCTTGAGAACTGAGAACACTGTAGCATTGTGGACACCCGGCTCCTTCTCGGCCGACTATCCGGTGAGCATGGCATGCAGCCCTCTTCGCATCACAGTCAAAGGTGCTTCCATGACACTCAAGTTCCAGAGACGATACAATTTACACCAAAAAGAAAAAAACTGCTTCCCTGAGAAGCTTGCCCAGCAAGCCAGGATCAGCCCAGAGTCATCAAAAGTCACCCGTCAATCCCTGGACTCCACGGCGCCTTCGGAGCTCTGCCTGTTTGGCGCTCAAAGCTTGGAGGGCCTGGCCGAAGGCCGAAATTGGCCAGGATTGGCCAAGGAGCATTTGCTGGCACAATGCCTGGCAGAGCGTTTCCATGTCGGAGGCGCACTTTGCGAAGCCATCCTGCGGCGGCTTTGTAGCAGGAACGGGGGAAAAGCACGATCGTGGTGGCAGTCCTCGAAAGCCAGCTGGAACAGCATACACTCAAGCCGTTCCTCGATCTGGGGCACCTCGTGGCATGCAGCTGCCACTCTGTATGATATCTGAACGTGCCCAGTGTAGGACCTTCAGCACTTCGTGCACGAGCCGGTGCAGCCATGGATCTCGCAGTTTCTTGAGTGCGGCCTGCGCAGTCGAATGCGCTGTCATTGATTCGCCGTGGCGAGCTCATGCAGTCAAAGTGAGTTCCATGCCTCACCCTTCGCCTGCACAAACTCTCGAATCTTGTTCCTTAGTGAAAGCAGCCTCAACGAATCAGCTTGCTTCGCTACTTGTGCAACCTCGAAGTCAAGCAGCGAAAACCATGTGACTTTTTGCAGCACAGCTGCCCACTGAGTTCTTGGTCGCGGATGACTTTCCGCAGCATGCAGAGGCCCTGTAGAGGCACTTGTCGTGGCAAGCTATGTTACTATGTGTCTGAGACTTCTGAAGGCCTCCTCTCTGAGCACAGCATAATTGCAGCTCAAGACCTTGAGGCGTGCTTTCTACACCTCACTAGTCTCACTAACCATGCCAATGATTCCTCGCAGGCTGTGGCTATCTGTAGCTGCCGCAGCTACCACAGCTTAACTTGTGCCTGAGGCAAATGCTGCCTGCTTCATGATGGCAACAATCTGCCGGTCACTTTCATCTGGCAGTTGCTTGTTGTTTGCACGGCTGATTGGCACAAGTCAGCGCCCGGCAGCGAAACCGAAATCAGAGAAATTATCAATTTGTTTGCTGCGCACGTACCCTGCCTTTGTTCTTCATTCGATACTTGCTCATCAATATTCCCAACCTGCTGTGACAAGGATCGGCAGACAAGGCGCGCTGCCATCACAGGACGCTAAGAGTGGCGCATGCGCCGCTGCTTTTCATCGAGGATGGAGATCTTGTCGGATCTGCCCTCGGAAAGCACAGTGCCGCCACAAAGCATACAAGCATGGAGTGATTTCGTGCATGCGCTGCCCAAAAAATCTTACTCTGAGAAAACACGTTTGGGAAGCAGAAGCACGCTCCAAAATTTTTGACCGTTTGAATGAAAAGGAAGAAGTTGGGGTCGCAGGGTTTCCGAGATGCAACGCTGGCGCCCGACATGTATGTATACGGCTTCGTGGCGCTCCCACCACCCTGCACAAGCTTCACTTGGCAACAAGCAACAAACACTTTCAGTTACCACTTTTGGCAACAGGCACCAGGCACACGAGTACTGACAACAAGTGACCGAAGGCGTTACGCATCCTGCTGACACTGCAGGCTTTCACCGGGAATCAAGGAGGGGTCCTCCAGTACGCCCCCTACGCTCATTTTACGCAGCGGGGTCAATTTTTCCCCGACACGCGGTCGCTTTCCGCATCTGCAGACAGTGCGAACTGGAAACTCCGAGGTGTGCCGCTTGGACCACATCCCGCGGCTCGGTCCCGGCTGCCGAGGCGCACACACGCAAGCGTTTGCACTACTCACACCATGGAGACCTCAGACTTGACCAGACACATGGTACACAAGAGCGATCCCGAGCTGCGTGATGAAACTACTTTTTGGCAAACATGCCACATGCACAAGAAGCGGAAATGGCGCCCCCCGCCACAAGCAGAGACCGTCGGGTGCCAGTGTCAGTGGAGTTTAGTGGAATGTGTGCACGAAAAACTGGTTCGGGAGCTGAGGCAATGTCAGAGTCCAATTGCACCGCCGCTTCTCGCCTTTGAAAGTAGACCTGGCACAGCAGTCAGTGTGTGAGAGCAGATATACGGCGACATCTGGGAGAACAGGTGGGATCTGCCTCGATCATCGCATCTGGAAGATCATCACTCTCCAGATTTTCCAGAGATTCAGGCTGCCGATAGACTTCTCCGAGCTCTTTTTCTTGATGAGGATAGGTCGTCTCCGCTGTGCCCGACGCTGCTGAAAGCATCTCCGCGCATTGCTTCAGCAGCGCACTGCTACTGGAACTCATCTTGTCAACATTGGTGGGTAAGGGTCTCCAGTACAACGTGACTAAATTGCTTCTCTTTCGGCATTCGGCATCGGACTTGGCCTTCGGCTTCGGCTTGGGCATGACAGCGCTCGGCAGTGGTGGGCCCTTTCCAGCTTTGCCCTTGCCTCCCTTGCCTCCCTTGCCTCCCTTGCCTTTGCCGCCTTTGCCTCCTTGGGCTCCCATGTCTCCCACGCCCTTCTCCTCTGAGTTCTGAGGCTCCTGGGGCTCCCGGGGCTCCTGGGGCTCCTGCACTTCTTTGCTCTGTGAAGGTTCACCGCCCCCATCGAGCAGCTTTTGCTTGGTCTCTTGAAGGTCCAGGAATTCCTGCTGAAACTGGTTGAGACCTCCTCCGTCTCTGCCTTGCAACTGGGCAAGCTCCGCTCGAATTAACCGGGCTTCACCTTCTGCATGTTGGTTGATGAGGTTCGTCACCTCTGTCATGACTTTGTGCAGTCGATTGCAGACTTGAAACTCCTGCAAGACTGCCTGCTTCGCTTGCTTGGCTTGCTCAGCTTGCTTCTCCTGGCTCTGAGAATCCTGGCAGAGGCAGAGTGCATCTTGCCAGCGCCGCTGCTCCTGTCGAAGCAGAGCGCTGTTCTGCTCCACCAAGCCCGGGGGTGCCAGACTCTTCTGGCGTTGAATCTCATTCTGCAGCGAGCTTGCTTTCGCTGTAAGATCTTTCAGCCGGTCTGCAGGCACCCCGCTACCCTCCATCACTGCCGCGACGGCAGAAAAGGCAGCTTTGACTACATGGCTGAACCTGTAAGCGGATGGTACACACAACACGTCTTGCATGCATGTCCGAATGAATCGATTCAATTAAGGCTTCGTAGGTGCTCAGCACAGCCTGGCTCACGCAACTACCAGTAAGTCAAGATTGCGCGTGTGTTCAATGAGACGCGAAGTTTGGGTCAGGGATTCTGAGCCGGAAAGGCAAAAAGACCATGCCCCCCCCATTGAATGGGCCGTTCTACGAGCTATGGCCCGGCCCCTCCTCCAGGTCCCCTCCTCCTGGTCTCCTCCTCTCTTCGCACTCTTTGCACCCCATTGACTCCAGTTGGAACGCGAGGCACGTGCGAGGCACCCTCTCACTTCAGAAGGCCCAGGACGGCCTTGGCAACTTGTTGCCAACTTGAGAAATGCTGAGAACAAAGCTGCCACTTCAACTGTTGTACTGAGCATGTGTTTCTCATGCGGCGCACGCGGTCTCTGCTTTGCTCGCATCCTCAGCTGCACCTGAGCCAAGGCAAGGTTGCGACACACGTGTAAGGTCATTGAAACATCTGTGAGGCAAGCTTTACTATCTCGACACAGCAAAGGCACTGGAAGGCGCAACCTGCTCCTCATGGTCTTCCCCGACCAACCTGAGCTGGGCAGGAAGGCTTCGGCCCGGTTTAGGCAACGCAAGTTCTGACATGTGCTGATGCACGAGGCCAAAGCCAGATGACATAAGACACGCGGTAGTCCTTCATGCCTTTCAGCACCTCTGATGCCTGCTACGAAGCGATTGCGGAGCTCAACAGTCTCCAGCACATGCTTGCCTTGACTTTGTGCAGGATCTTGTCAGACCAGAAAGCCTGCGCTGACCACCAAGTCCCACGCTTGCAGCATAAAGCGTAATTAAAAGACATCGAGGCAAGATGAAGCTGGCGCCAATAATTCAGTAAAAGCAGCAGGATGAAGCGAAACACGTGAGTCTGAGAAAAGAGAAACTTCCAGGGAATGGCGCCAGTAATGTGGCGTTCAAGACTTCATCGTCTGACATGAAAGAGGCATGAAAGAAAGAATTGCCATTGTTCATGAATCAGCGACTTGCACGTGGACTGCCATAAGAAAAGCTCAGCATCCATTGGTCAAAAGACTGGCAGAAGGCTTTCAGCATGGGTTGCGAAGGAGATCCTTGCGTCACGGTTTTGTCTGACTCAGACCCCGACAACTAGCGTTCCGCTTGTTGGGGGCAGCGTGACCTGCAGCGCACAGGCACAGCCGCCAACGTTGTAGTAGGCCCAGTGGTTGCCAAGATCCTGTGGCCCAGTGTCCAGGTTCCGTGCCGGAAGCCCCAAAGCCCCTGGTTGTGACTTTGCTGCTTCCGCCTCGCATCTGTGAGAGCTGACTCAAACTTAAAGCTGGCACTTCACCTAAAAGTCTCAGAACTCCGGAGTACCTCGGTCTGTCCCTCCCCAAGGAGCACAATCTCACCTCCCAGGGCAGGCCTCCGGAAAGCACGTGTGACACTTCATCTGACCAGCTCACGACAGCAAGGTGGATTGTGAGCACAACCTGATCCTTGCAAGTGATTCCAGGGTCTGGGGATAGATAGAGCTGATATCCTGCAGAGAAGCGGGCCTCCAAGAGTCGTTCAGATAGAGGAGAAGCCTGAGACATGAGCTCAAGCCGTCTGCTGGGACGTTCATCGCACACCCTTTCAGCGGCTGACACTTACCCAAAGTGTCGCATGTTTTGTTGGTGAACTTGTCTTTCTACAGGGACTCCCCACTTAACGGAGCGCCACATTGGGGCTTAGCACGCGTCAGAGGCTATAGTTTCGAGACATGGTCGAGCCCATTCTGCTTGTCTATGGTCTATGGTGCTTGAAATTATGAGAATCATGTCCCCAAAAAACCGCTTGCTCTTGCATCATCTGCTCGACCAAGTATGGTCAGAGGTTTTGCCTTGACCATGTTCTGCATCCACAGTCCACAGTCGAAAAGTCATCCAGCTCTGCAGCGGCAAACGGTTCGGAAACCGTTTGGCAGTCGGGATGTTCAAGCGCTGTCTTCCATCTGATATCCATTTCATCTGATCATCAGCTGGAATATGGACCATGAACCTACAGAAGCAAATGCGATGCAACCAGATGACGACAGCTTGCGGTTGAAGGGCTTCTCAGCCACACCCACCTCAGCTGGGCTGAACGCAGAGGGCACAAGAAATGAAAGGACCAGGCAAGGGACATCCAAATGTGCATCAAAGGCGGCACCGTTCCCAACACTCATGTTCAGCCTCGTCTGCGAAGCACATGGACTGACGAGCATGGATGAGAACTTTGGAGCTCAGGCTTCAGCTTGTTTCCAATGAACTTGCCGTTCAAGTCCATTTCTGGAAAAGCAGCATTCACCTAGAGGGGCACTTATGTCGTCGTGACACAACTTAGCTTATGAGCACCGCATCAATCTTCAGAGAAACCATCACAAGCGCGTCACCCGTCGGACCAACTCCCTGGTCATGGTGACGGTGTAATGCCACATACCTGGTAGCAGGGGCCTAAACTGGCTTAAACCTGCCACCCGAAGTAGCAATCTGGATTCAGGATGCTACTCATAAACACGGGGCGCGTGGAGAAGTTGTGTACTTCTCGCTCTTGATCTCCGTGGCAAACACGTGCTTCTTGTCGTAGTAGATGTCTAGGTCAACAAGGCTCTTTTGTGCTCTTTTTCTTGCTTGCTTGCAGTAAGTAAGAAAAGCGAAGAAGAGTGCGCGCCCCTTCTTTCCAAATGTCTCGCAAAGAGGAAGGGAAGGGCGCGGAGTGCTGCCAAGGAGCTTCCACCCAGCACGGACTGTGACTGTATGAAGTCGCCGTTCTCCCACAAATCCTCCACTTCCTGGCCTCGTGAATTCACCCTCAGAAAGCATGACACGTTCTGTGCAAACACACCAAAGAGAAACGACAACAAAAAACAAACACGCTGTTCGAAATCTCCGCCTGAAGGCGCGGTCTCCGAAGTTCTCTCACTCTGTGTTGATTCAATGAAAACTCATTCTGTCCCATGCCGCCCTAAGGGGCCCCTGCGCATGGCGCGCAGGAGCGGCTTCGGGAGGACGGGTTTCGTGGAGGCCCACCAGCCTGACAACTGACACAAACTGGTTGGCGGTCTGCTTCTCTGTCTCTCTTCTGAGCGCACCATGGTCACGGAGCCCCGCAATGAGCTCGTCGCACCAGCCGTCAATCGAGGTTAGTACCTGAGCAACAGCACTTGCACCAGCGCAAGGAGCCTCGAGAGTCCCCGCCCGTAATGACATTGCAATTGTTGAAGCAATGGCTTGTCAGCTGATATGACGTCATGCCTCCTGGTCTAAAGACGACGAGGTAAATGTAAGCATGCACTGCATAGATGATTCAAGGGCGAATAGCAGGTTTTGGCTCTTGCGCCTGTTGGTTGAACTTGCCCACCTCCGACTCCGACATTGCGAAATCCTTCAGCAATGGTTGGCATGCTTCAAGCTAGCAAGCTGCTGGAAGGCTGGCAGGTTGCTGGCAAGCCTTTGTTGACATCTTAGTTTTTGTCGGAGCCGACGACTCGCTTCCTACACAGCATCTAGCGGGTAACTCTGACCGATGCTACAGTCAACGCAGCCGCGCCTCCGAAACCACGACCGTGCAATCTCGTCCTTACGGAGCGAAACCTGTTCCTGACATTTTCCGAAACCACCTCTTCATCTTCAAGTCCGAGCAAAAAGGAACCAAGCCTGCTCAGCGCCATTGCGCAACCTGCCAAGGAACCTGACCAGCTCCTAAAACCCCACTTGACCAGGAAGACTCACACATCTTTTTTCTTGATAGCTGCCAGACTGAGACCTTCCCATGACCAGACTGGGAACCGTCCCTCGGACACCTTTGAACCTTCTAAGCGGATGAAATTTCGAGCGGTGCTTTGAGCAAAAAGCACAAAGCACAGAGAGCTCGAATGTATTGGGAAATGCTGGGAGTGGAGCAAAGGTCCATGCGAAGCCATCGCCACCCTTCGTCCTGCACCGTGCAAAGTGTCCATAACCGCACGTCGCAAGTAATGACAGCGATGCAATCATAAATGCAGCGCAGTCGTGTCAAAGCTCCTTGACAAACTTGTGGTGCTGCCGCCGAGATATTGTTGCAGCTGCTTCCTGTACGGCAACTGAGGTTGCGATGCTCTCAATTCAGATCGGTTCTGCGAGGCCTTTTGGCCATCGCAGGCCACGTAGTTGCATCCATGGGTCAGGCGAAACCACTGGCCAGCAACAGCAGTAAGCAAACAACCGAGGCATGGTGGTGTTAGCAGATGTTAGCAGCACAGCGAACCAGGACAGCTCGGCGTGACCCGGACCCGGTGAAGGCACGGACTGCATGGCGTTTACCCAGGGAGCATCAGCCGCTTACATGGACTGCTGTTCTCCAACTGCACTTGTCTTTTGTTTACTCGTTTACGCGTACAAACGTTCTGTCGGGCTTCGGCTCACAGGCAGACATCATGCATCGCCCTGTAAGGCTACAGCCTGAAGCGAGGATTTGAGTTGACATGCAAACGAAGGCGAGCTCACATGTCTTAAACCCGCTCGGTAAAGTCGGCGACATGGGTGGTAAGGCCCTGCTCTCTCTTTAACGCATTGCTCACGCGTTGCTGCACAGCTGTGAACTGCAATCCGGAGGCTGATGATGTGCTCCGCTGGGGCTAGGAAGGCTTGCGGTTCGCAAGCGTTGGAAAGCTGTTGTGAAACAGTGTCGGTTGAAAGCGGAGCAAAATGTACAAGCTGAAGTGACGGTTGAGCCAACACCCAAAGCTGCCTGTGGGAGATTTCAGACACCGGACAGCTTAGAAAAGAGAACCGTCAGACTTGATCGAGGTGAGCTTGAAGTCTTGAAGTCTTGAAGTCTCCAGGCATATCTGAAACGAAAACTGCGAAAGCAGCGACGGCCTCAAGATGCCTCGGGCCGCCTCTGACGCCCTCTTCGTCCAAGCATGTACAACAGTGGGTGATGCCCTGCCGCCAACATCCTGGCTCGCAACGCCAGCCGTCAGTACCTTGGCTTCTGAGGCATTCTTGACAGAATCTGAGGGGGGCAGTTGCGAGTAGTTGTTTTTCAGGCTGGGGCTTCACTGTCCGGGTTTTCTGCCGAAGGTCGGCTCCACCTTGGCCTGCACAGAACGCGTTTGGGACTTGGCACACTTGGCTCGCTTGGCTCGCTTGGCTCACTTGGCCACACATGCCACACAAAGTGAGGCAAATCTCGTTGGCAACAGCTCCGCACTGCACTGTCGGCATCAAGCCTGGAAGCTTCGCAGCCTCCTTCTTGTACATCTCCTTGCCTTGTTCACGCCCGAAACTGTACACTTGGATAGCTTTACGCGAATGAACGTGTCTTAACCCAGTGATCGACACTTTGGCAACTAAGGCGGAAACTTTCCTTCTTCATTTGTCTGCAGATCTTTCTCATCTCCTTGAGAACGATTGGTAAGATACGATGAAGACTTCAACTGCAGATCTCTCACATTGGATGCTCTCACAACATCCCCAGCTGCACCTTCACAGATGCCTTTCGAGCCCTCTTCTCTTCAGCAGTCTCGCCCTTCTCACGGGTTGTTATCACCTAAGTGATTGCAGCGTGCTCATGACGCCAGAACGCTGTTCAAAAGCGCTCAGTAAGACACATCCGGCAGCTCCACCACATCCTCAGCATTCTTCCGAGGTCACGCAGGCTCAAAGGCTCTGAAGCAGACAGCCTCCGGTTCATCATCGTCAACATTTCCTCCCACCAACAGACACACAGCACATACGCACACACACACACACACACACTGGATCGTTACTGATCGTCACCACTACCACCGCTCCTTCCACCTCACTTACGGGCTTCAACTTCTCGACCGGCTTCTTGACAATTTTCACCTTGCCTATCCTGCCTGCACAAGAGGAGGCCAAAGGGTTGTCAAAGCAAAATGCTGAACCAGCGAACACGAGACAAGATCCTTGCCAGCAGTGGGTTGGCAGGCACGTCAGTTCT